GAGAGGGAGAGAGCCGGAGAAAGAGAGATGGAGAAAGATGTGAGTATCACAGGGTGAAGACGTGATGGAATACAGCATCCCAACCATGGCTGCCCTCCCTGAGCACTGATCGATAATTGTAGACAGAAATCATCTTCAGATCACTGGCCAACCAACCAATCATGACCAAAAACATAACTGCCATAAATGTCATGTTTGTCCTGCATTTCAAAGGCATCCAGGCCAAGTACAGTTGTTGAGAACAGAGGAGGTTATGTGAAGACCAGTTCAACAGCATGCAAACATCTGTAAAATGTAACTGAAGTCATGTCTGATACAACACAATAATAAACATTTTTTAGATTAAATGTTCTTTTAGAATGAAAAATTGAATGAATGTTAAGGCTTTGTTTGTACAAAAACACACATTTGAAGAGTTATAAAAGCAAACGATTAGGCAAATTCATTAGCCATAAATTTAAATTATCATAAGTGACCCCCTGATGCTAACGTTGTGGTTTCATGTAAACACATTTCTCTTTTAAATTACTCAACGCTGGAAACTTCCAATTAACTGAACACCTGCCACAGTAACTGACAGCCAAGACAGGAAACCTCAGCTAACCACTGGCCAATAATTCATGCGAAGAACACTGCGAAGTTCTTCGACGGACGGCTGTCGCTCGCATTGCAAACTTGTGCAACTCAAACGCAAAAAAGAGGGCAAAGATTTTCGAAACCAAGTTTTTTTCTCACGCTTTCTAATTTTTTTTTTCCTTTTTGTTCCTACCTTTTCCACCGAGCGCGCAGGAGTGGCCCCAGATAAGCCAAAACAGCAGAAATGGGACCCCGAGTGTGTGCATGTTTGTCGAGCCGTGAAGGAGATGTCTCTGCGTCCTGTCCTCTTCCAAATATCCTCGCTCACCTCCCGAGCGCGTGGATGTTCTCAGCTGGCCGGCCGCGCGACAGATAGTCGGCAGGTCGAGAGACAGTCAGTGTTAATGTAAGCAAAGAGGGAGAGAGAGGCTGGCGTTTAAATAGCGTCAACGCACCAACACTTCCGGGAGTTTCTTTTCAAAATAAAATAAAGCAACCGACTGTAAAGGTTGAAGCATTTCAAATACTACAACACCATTGTAATTACATGGAGTAGAAAATCTTTTTTAGACAACATTTCCTTTATTGCACGGATCTAAAAATAGATTTGCGAAAATTTTGAAAAATTGCACGCTTTTATGTTGAAAAAAAACCCAGTTTGGCTTTTATTTGACAAACTTGACAAAACAAAATGTTTCTCAGAGAGAAGGAGCAGGAGATGTGAAGGGAGGGATGCAGGGAGGATCTGTCTGAGAAGAGTGTCAATGTGTTAGTATTTTAGTGTCAAGACGGGGTGAGGATTGATAATGAAACACCTGGAGCAATCTGCCAGTGACTAATGCAATGTAAATGTAACATCATGTTTCCAGGCTCACTGGAGTTTCAGTTGCCACACCTTGCTGCTGACCATTTAAGTGTTTAGATTAGTGAGCAACCACGAGCATCTTTGAGTGAGGTCATTAGCAGTTACCCTCCCTTAATCATCTCAGTTATCTTAGATATGCTGCATCTGGGAAATGTATGTTAATTAAGAAGTAAAGTGCATTTTCTTAGAGCTATAATCGAATGAAGCAGCTGCCACAGTGAGATGTTTTTCCAGCTGTATCCTCCTAACAAGAGCCTCTGAAGAGCACAGCTATACTCCCCCTCACAGATTTGAGTCTTTCACTTTCCACCCCGTGGCAGAATCACTGGTTTTCTGCGAGGACCACATGTTCTTCAATTACCCCCCCCCCACACACACACACACACACACATATATTCCTGCTTCCTCTTCTGCTGGGTGTGGGTGTGTGTTCTGGGGATTAGAGGGAGCAAGAGAGAGAAGGCAGACCTCAGGAGAGTTAAGAGGATAACAAAGACAGAAAACACACGCATACAAGTCCAAGAAGGGCCACATTTACATGCACATGCAATTACTTACACACACATGCTCCTGACTGGCTGTTTCCATGGCTAATGGGAGCTAAGTCACAGCGGAGCAGTGACAAGGGGAAAGATGGTGCGCAGGCTGTCTTTCTAATTGCAGTGAAGCCATCAGGTCAGCAATTATTTAGTATAGGGAAAGGGAGAAAATCACTGTGGCATCACTAAAAGACTGCTTCTTGTGTTATTGACAAATACTCATTTTAATCTTAATGTTTCACACAAAGTAGGTTGGATTAATTTCCTTTTTTCCCGTTTATGAGCAGTCATGGCATAATCTAGCAGTGATAAACTGTTCAATAGTTTATCAACAGTTTATCACTGCTAGATTATTCATGTAACTGAAAGAAAACAGTTTCATTCATTAGGGGACTGGATTCTCACTGCGATATCTTAATTTTTACCTCAAACAGCAATAAATATAAGATCAGTGATAACTTCCATCCATTTGTGTGAACACGAACACATCTGAAAGCCTCCATTGTTGGTTTTAACTGACACACACTGCTCCCTATATGGAACTGGTGCAGTTGTCCCCACAGGAAAGGGCTTGCTCTATTTTTATAGTGATATATAACAATGGCTCGCTAAATGCCATGTCACTTCTTTGAAAGCTTACATTCTTTTAAAGTTATTCTCGTACCTCCGCTACAAAGCAGAGTTATTGGAAAAGGGATTTGTGGCCATTTTTGTAATCAGTTGCAGGTTGCTCTACAGACAGTCAGTTAGTGTTGTACAGTGCTCTCCCCTTTCATCTGACAAGCAGTTTACAACAATAGAATGAAAGGTTACCTGGAGCTCATAGGTGTTTGATGCTGCACTGCTGTAAAGGTCAGCTTCTAATTGTAAGGTGTTCTGGGAAGATGCCGTCATTGCCCACAGATGCAGCAGCACTGAGCGCAAAAAAAGTAACACTGCTCTTTAATGTGCATCTAATAAATGAAAAGGCACCGTTATTACGTTTAATTACAAAGACTTGTTAACATCTTGCACGTACTTCAGTACCACGGAGAGCTCCGTCGCTGTAACCTTCATCCACCAGGGGTCGCACTTCAGCTAGGTTTTATCTGCGGAACCTTCAAACAAGCGCCTCTCCAAACACGGGAAAGGGGGAGTGGTATCAGTGTGACACACTCGCCAAATGTCAACAATGTGAAAAGAAGGTAATGAAACGAACTATCGCTACTGCCTTTAATCACTGTGTGGATTGTATCACGCCTGCTTGACTGTGCTGTTATTCTGTTTTAACTGATTAATCGCGTTACGCCTGGTTTATTAGTCCGCTAAGCTAGCGACTGTTAGCTGCCTGCTCAATGTCAAGGTGGACTGTCACAGCTTCCTCAAATGTTGATGGCGTTTTAACTTACTTCATTAACTTCATTATGTTACAATCTATGACACATACGTTATTCTGCCTTAAAAACATCATTAGAAACTTAGATTTTAAAAAGGGCGTATTTTGCCTTGCCAGTAGATGTGATTTGTAGAGTATTCACAGAAAAACACACTTTAGGGTTGGAGTGAGCGTGTGAGATCCTGCTTGCATAGCTTTATTTAAAGTTGATATTGTAGAAATGCGTGCAAGTGTACTAACTGTGAAAATGAATTTGCCAGATGACCTAGAAGAGTCTGATTACTCTGTCAGAGTGAGGCAGGGTGTAGTAAGTGTCCACATCCAAACTAAAAGCTTTCTGCAAAGAGGAAGTTGTTTCAAAAGCTTCTTTTTCTTTCAACATGGTTGTTGTTCATACGCAAAATTACAATTACTAGTTAAATACATCAATTTATATGGTGCACGTTTAACTAAACGTATCTAAACAAGCTAAACAATCCCTGACATGTCTTAATATAAGCGCAGTAAGGAGAGAACATTTAGAAGAATTGAACATGATTTAGTGAAATAGAGAAATAATTTTGTTTCGCCATTAATTTGCAATTAGAATCAGGTGACCCAGCATGGCAGAAAATAATCCTAGCAGGACACGATTTAGGATAGGACACACCGGATGTGTAGATGCTGGTTGTGGTGAAGATGAGGATGAAGGCTTGGCTGAGTGTCTGAGTGACTTGGGTGAGGTGAGGATGAGTATGAGGTAGGTCGCGTGGAAGTGATGTAAAGAATAGAAGAGCAGCCGAGCACCTAGGAAAGCAGGCAGATGAGTGATTACGGAGCTCATTGCACAGGCTGTACTGTAGTTATAAAATATAAAGTTTATATTATTTTACAGAAAAAAATGTTTGTTTTTTAAACCATCGACACACTATTTTAAAAACAGGCATTTGTATAGTAGATAGTGGAAAAATAAAACACAGGATGTGCCTCAACCTCCTGTGTTTGCATTTTATATCCCCTACTGCCTCGTTTGGCGTCCTCATTGGTGCCCTCCTGGGTACACACAGACCACAGAAGAGGAGAGTGAGAAGAGCAGATGAAGCTAAGACTTTTCTTGGAAGTGAGGGACTGGCTGATAAGTGACGTTGAGCATTTCTGGTTACCTGTGTTTAGCGAGTTTCCATGGAGAGGAATTTTTCTTCTATGTCCCTGCTTGGATACGCAGCGCCTGAGACCGTACTACCTCAGGAGGATTCATCCAGACTGCTGCTGTTTGGCCTTTTCTGGTTTGCACTGAACTGGAGATTGTTATTCATGGATTTATTTGGATTACTGTAATTCATTGTTCACTTGTACTCAAGTCACACTGTTGCTGAACAGCTGTACTGTACCCCATTAAATTCAGAGTATATTTTAAGATTCTGGTTCTGACTTTTAGAGCTCTTCCTGGACAAGCACCAGCTCACATCAGTAAACATTTACACCCATTCATCCCCAGTGGGTCCCTGAGGTCATGTGATTAGGGCCTAGTTATTGTGCATCATACAAGGCTGAAAACTAAATGAGATGGAGATTTTGCTACAGTGGCCCCCTAGACAATGGAAATCGTTCCCTCTGACCTGATCTATGGACTCAGTGATCGCCTTCAAGAAACTACTAAAAACTCATCTTTTTAGACTTGCTTTTTTATTTTTATGTATTTTTTTGATCTTTGATCTTTGTCGCAAAAGATGATACAGATAATACATTCTACTGACTTGCTTACTAAAAGTAAAAAATCCACACTCTGCTTCACATCTTCAAGCCGTCCTGTGAACAGCTGCTGGAGGCTTTGGCCACCGGGCCTTATGTTTGAAATCTCTGGGCTCAGGAAATCTGTGATTCTAAATTAGGTGTAGATGTGAATGTGAGCGTATCCCTGAAACAAACTGGCAGCCTGTCAAGGCTCCAACCCAACCCTGAATTGGGTAAGCAAAAAAAACAAAAAACGGATTTTAGTGTTATCACTGACGGTGCGTTTTTGTGTAGGCACAGATAATAGAGTGGTGCATACCTTTGTGGTATCAGGCAAGCCCAAAATCCAGAAGGATTGCTATTTGCTTCTATGCTGCCAACAACTGTGGCCAGAGGCATTTTGTTGTCTTTGTACATTCATCCTACTCATGTAAGCGCTTCAAACACTCAATCAAGGATAGAGTCATTACTCTTTTCATTGTCAAAGGTTGAGTTCAGTATGACCTCATAAAACCATTTTTTGACCTTTACTTAAGAATTAATTTCCTAATTATGAGCAATTTCACACAGATGCCTATTAGAATGAAATCCCAAACTAATAACATTTTAGATCTAAATGTTGAGATAAACTACTCACTGAACTTTGGTCAAGAAAGTTAATTTAAAGTGAAATAAATGTTGGCTGGATTCCTGGCAGAGTGAGTGGTGAGTTGGCTGAGCAGTGGCTGGTGTTAATTTCCCTTTGGGCTCTTTACACACACAAACACGGACAGTAAAACAAAACTGCACTGTAGCCGTTTACTTCGTCCGGTGCTCAGCCTCAGAAAAACACCGCATCCTTTATTCTTTTCGGTGTTTCTGGAAGTGGATTTGGTGTCCCAATGACAAATTGTTAGAAGATCGGAACCGGAGTTTATTTTTTTCTTCTCTGGGGTTAGACTGTGCTCATCTGTGTGTGTGGTGTTAATCTCTTTTTATATTACATGCAGAGGTTTCCAGAAGAGGACTGTTTCTCATTGCTGTCTTCCTTGAATCTCGTCGTCTTCTGTCCCATCACGTGACTCTGGCTTATTACTCTGTTTCACTTTCCTCTAAGGTTCTTTGACTGCGGTGTGAGAGGTTAAACCAAGATGGCCGCCCGCCGTGTCCCACTAGTCTTGTTAGCCTGCGGCTCGTTTAATCCAATCACCAACCAGCACATGAGGCTGTTCGAGTTGGCCAGAGACCACATGCACAGCACAGGTCAGATACAGACAACGCTACGTCCCCGTATCATTTGTGTATCGCTGTATCGTTTGACTTTAAAGAAAACCAGCCTCTGTAAGATCTCCTCCATAAAGCCCACTGATTAATAGACTTTGTAGTTACAACTAATCAAGCAATGAGTAATAGTTATCCAGCCTCTCTGAAGGACTTTCAAAGTTTTTCTTTGGACACTGACTGCTTTTTCACTCACTCAGTCCAGTCCCTGTACCTGCCCAATTTCAGAGGAATGTTTTTTGATTGTTAAACCTCTTCACCCAAGAGCCACCCACTCACGTGCCTTTAGGTACGTTGTTAATAGCCTGTTGCAAAACAGATCATTTGTTTTCATTTTCTTAACTGATTCTACAAAAAATGCCAAATGTAACTGTTAGACAGACCTAAAATACTATGTTTGCAACAAGGTGGTTCCCAAAAGAGCAAGTAGCTGTAAAGTTGGCATATGGTGTGTATGGTGTCCTTAAGAAATATGAGGAAATATGAGGAAACTGGACAAGTGGAGCCCAGACCCACACATGTTAGGCCTAAAAACTACAGCAGATGAACAGTATCTGAAAATCGTGTCCTTAAGGAATAAGTATAGCAGGACCTGAGAGATGCACCTGACCCTTCAGTTGATCCATCTACTGTTCATGATAAAGCCCCATCAGAAATGGTCTCAGCAGAAGGGTGACTGTCAAAAAGTAAAAATTGATGGAATTATAAACATCTGGATAGCGTCTAATTGGCGACCGCTTCGTTTCTTTTTCCCAAAAATCACCGGCAAATCAGTAAAAGCATACCTGCATAGAGAAACACGTTGGAACACTATCAGTCATGGATTGGCCTCCCCAGAGCCCGGACCTCAACGTTACTGAAGCAGTGTGGGATCATCTTGACAGAAAACAGAGCAAAAGTCAGTCAGAATCCAAAGAATAGCTTATAGTTCTTCGGGAAACCAGGAGAACTATTCCTGAAGACTCCTTAAAGAAATTACAAAGAAACCTGCCTAAGAGAGTTCAGGCTGTGTTGAAGAATAAAAGTGTTCATACGAAACATTGACTCTGAAGCTCATCAGACTTGTACCAACTGTTTGTGCCTCATATGCTGCATTTCCATGTATATTCTATGTATTTCAATAAATCCCTGAAACAATTTCCTAGCAAAATATAAAGGAATGAGGGGTGGCTCAAGACTTTTGCACGGTACTATATATATGTGATGTATTACAACCCAACTATGCCACTTTTCAGAGCTCTTTAAACTAGCTCATTGTTTATCACTTGTGGCCTTTAAATCTACTGTTTGATTGAGTGTCGCCCTGTCATTTGTCTTGTTCCTTGCCGCCGTGGCAACCAATCCCTGATAAAACTCCCTACGACCTTTCTAGCGCTAAAGAGCAGACATGCAAACTTTAAGACTAGCTGGAGAAGAGAGAGCTGAATACCTATGTCAAGTTGCCATAAACACAACTCCAAACGAATGCTAATGTGCTCTGTGTCTGCCGCAAGCGAAATTAGGCTCTTTTTTTTTTTCAGCAGGCAGTGGAGGTCTTTTGCCCCCTAGTGGCCGGAAAAAAAATCAATTGCTGCATCTTTTAAGACCCCAGTACGAAGAATCCCATACAAACATACAAACAATGCTAATATATGGCCGTCTCCGTGATTTAGAGGCTCTTGTGTGGAAAACGCTTAGTCACCCTAAGCTTTATGTTCTGATCTGCTCTGCCACACAATCCCAGCTTCAGAGACACAGCGTCCTTATATAAATTCAGGACATTTACAACGTAAAGATGCTCTGAACACAGTGCAACATTTCAACATGCAGGAACATTAATGCTCTTACAGTTTTCCCTTCGACCCCCTTACCTATAAGGCATCAGCTGACTAGCTTGAGGTTGACATTCAGAAATCACAGCAGACGTTTTTCCTCCTGTGTCTGATTGTTTCCAACTTTGTCAGCTAAATAAACACACCTTTTTCTAAAATTGATGACATAGTATGATTTGAGACACCTTGTCACGATCACCCACCTTTCTCACTCCGTTATAAAGAGATTAATTGTCTTATTTGTCCTCAAATGTGAGATCTGATGAACCATTAATTGTATCAACGCCACTATCTCTGTTATACATGACAGCTGCATTTCTTTTTCGCTGTCGTGACCCAGTTAAACTCTGTTAATCTTCTCTCCCCTCAGGCCAGTACCAAGTGGTGGGTGGCATTGTGTCCCCAGTGAGTGACAGCTATGGAAAGCAAGGCCTAGTACTGGCTAAGCATCGTGTTGCTATGGCAGAGCTGGCGCTTCAGAGCTCCAACTGGGTCACAGTTGATGAATGGGAGAGCCAGCAGCCAGACTGGACGGAGACAGTGGTCACTATGAGGTATAAACCATCTTTACTGCCGGAGATTAGTTTTAAAATAAAATTTTAAAAAAATCTTGCGATATTGTGCAAGAAAGTGAATGGTTGAAACAATTTTCTTTCTCTTTCCTGTCACCCTTTATGAACACACCTCACAGACAATTACATGCACAGTCAGTAAGTCCCTGGCAATTCGATGGTTAATCAGAAACATTGAACTGGTTGAAACATTGTGTTGTGTATTTCCAGTCAAATAATATATCTCCTGTCATAATAACTGCATAATAACTTCTTAATGTGCAAGAAGATCAGATCATCCTAGTCTTACCAGCAGAGTTCGCAGGGATCCACTGTCCTTTGCTGACCCTCTGTGAGCCCTTTATCATGCAAGCTTGTGCTGTTTATGTAAGAGTGCCACCAGGTTTCCTACCTAATTTATGGTTTTAGTCTCTTGGGGGCTGCTAGACTAGACTGGATCCATATCAGGTCTGTTTTTTTTCATGGGGTGAAATTAGGACCACGGGCTGTTAAATTCATTGGCCAACTGGGAACGGTTTAGTGGCAAAAGGCTGCCTGAGCGATGAATATGTTTGAAGAGAGGTGCTGCACTGAGCGAAAGGATAGGAAAGAGGCCCCACTGAGTATTTGCTCGCTCACTAACACATAAGTTAACTGGACAGAATTTTCATATTTATTTGACCCAAGAGAACCATCCATCCATCCATCCATCTGTTCTTTTCTGCTTATCCAATTTAGGATGGGGGAGGGGGGGTGGCGTTAGCCAACCGTAGGTGTGAGCAACTTCTTGACCAGGATTGAGGCTGGTCATCCAAACCAGTTTAATCTTATCTGATGGTGACAGTCCAGATCTTTTCCCAGACTTTGGCAAAGTGCTGTTCCACCTAAATAACTTGTACTTGGGTACAGTTGTTTGAACTGATGCTCTTGAATCTACATTTATGTAGAAATGACTCCTAGAGACCTTCTCAACTTGTGTAAATCTACAACTCTCTTTCATCAATCTTCACTGAATTCATTGGAATTTCCAATTGTTCTGAGTATTGGTTAATCAAATTAGTAAATTAATTAGTTAATCAATAAATCCCATTATGTTTGTAACTAGAAACCAGTTTTAGTCAATCGTGATGACCAACGAGAAGTTAATAGCCCTTGTCAAGTTAATAGACACTGCAAAGCCTTTATTAAATGTACTGTATGTATATATTTGAGCCTGTGTGTATAATTTTGACTTTTTGTAGACTAGAGAAAATTCAGAGTTGTGGACCCAGTTCTTGTGTTTTTTAAGTGATTAAAGAAGTATGGTGTACAATCGTTCCACCCTGGTAAAAGAACAGTTCAGAGGAATTATTAAAAGCTCCAAATTACCATGAAATCCATGCCCACAATGAGTGGATAGTAACTTCTGACCACACCTGACACTTATACGCACACGCCCAGTTGTGTCTCATTCTTGCTGTAAGCCATGTTTGCTGATCAAGCCATGAAGTGGACTGTTGTTATGAGTCTGTGAGCAGGCCACGTCACACATTATTCAACGCACACACACACGCACACACTTTTACATACAGAACAACTTTAAGAAGCTTTGAAAACAGTGAAGATTTTCATCTCTTTTAAAGGCTTTTCTATAAGTCGTGGCTATTTTTCCTTTTTCTAATCGCTTCAGTAAAGCTTTATTGACATGTTTAGACTGAACAGTGGATTACCTCAGCACATGCATGAACAGTAAGTTACTGCACAAAGCAGGAATGATGCACTGCACATGAATAAAACAACAGAAAAACTGAGGACAAAGAGGAAATGGTTGGATTCACAAACACAAATGAAAGAAAACTGCATGTATTACCACATAACTGTTTAAAAAACAAAGTATCAGTATCTTTTCTTTTCTTTTTTTCCTTTGGTTGTCAGGTATCATTACGGGCGTATTCTAAAGGAGTATGAGCGGAGCGTGGGAATGCACAACAACTCGGGTAAGAGTCTCTTTTTGTTCAGCTTAGAAACTCTTGACTACAGAGTGTTATCAGGATTTTTAGAGGTATTTATATGATGTTTTTATTATCACAAAACATGCATATTTTAAAGACAGCCGCAGAAAATGAAATCTTGTCCCTTTATGGCTCCTCACTCTACAGTGAAAATAGCATGAGAAAAAGCTGTTTTTATGGGCCAGCATGGCTGCCCAAGTCAAGTATGTGGTACGACTCTTGTTTGTGCTGTTGTTGGTCAGTCAACCAGCTGCAGAGAAGAGCAGGTGCACAGTCGAGGTCTTGGAGGACTGCACAGGAGCGCATCTCAGATCTCTTCCCCCCCTCTTTCCGACTGAAATCTTGTGTGTGGACTAACACATTTGTGGGACCATAAAACCAACATAACGTGTTCCCCGTAGGTTGAGCATGCAACCTCTTCAACCTCTGGTAGACTACTTTCAGTTCCAATACATTTGCATGGGTCACCTGGTGGGAGGCAGCCTGTTCTCCAGACAGTGAGGTCCCATTTGGACTAAGTGTTGTCACTCTCAGACAGACTGTGAAGCATTTGCATATATTACCACGTAATTTAGTCTACATCAATGAGTACGACTTGTCTGCAACACTCTTCGCAATAGGGGACTCGACTTGATGGTTGTATTGTGGTTATTTTCCTATGTCATTTTGCAGTTAGATTGCCATCGGGCAGCAACTGGGGTGGGGTTCAGATCGATTAAGTCCTTGCATGTGAGAAAGCTACTATTGCTCCTTCATTCAAGACTTTTCTAAATGAATTTGTGTTTAATTGGATTTTTTGTGTATGCGGATTGGTGATTTTTGGCGATTTATCACAGTTAACTGCCAAATTGTCAAAATAGATTGCATCTAATTGTGAACTTGGGCCCATCCAGTTACAAACAGATAGCAGTCTTATTGCTGTTTTATTGCCGTCTTGACGGACCAAAGTTGCTTTGAAAGATGGCAGTAGACTGAGTAGTTGCAGACCTGGTCCTCGTCTTCGGGGCAACCAAGATCACAAGTTCATTGCACCTAACTGCAATAAATCTGGCCATGCTGCATTCTCCCACTACTGTTTTCACTAGTGTTGCTGTAGTATTAATGATTCGTAGACTCTTCCACCGTCAGCTCAAAGTGAAACTTGTAGTATTTTTGAAGAGTGAAACATTCATGTCAGCCCTCTGCATCAGCTGGGCTTTGTGATCTTCTGTTAAACATGAAGATGTTGAATTTTTTATTGTCAGTCTGTTAGTATGCTGACTTTGCTACTAGAAATGGAGATCGATCGATCTATCTATCTATCTATATATCTATTAGGGGTGCAACGATACACAAAATTCACGGTTCGGTTCGGTTCGATACTTTGGTGTCACGGTTCGATATTTTTTCGATACAAAAAAA